TATATCGTAGTGTATATCTATTGGTGGTCGTTATCATTGCGATGACCCTAAGTGGTCCAGGTGATATACCGTGACAGTTCCTAATTTTCAACGACATCTGCTAGCAATGTCAAACGCCGTTAACGTGTACATCGAACACGTGACGACATTGTCACCACCCCCATCTTATAACCCCATCACCCACAACAACCGGGAGACTACTTGCTCGATCCACGTTCTGCATCTATTTATCACACGATTTGTATTACACCCTTACGCCATGCTCTTAATGTGTCGGTTTTGACTTTAGTAGTGTAATATGTTTTCTTTAGGTATCATGGTAACTCTAAATGAGCTCATTGCTAAGTTGCGAGTGATATTTGCCGATGACAATGTAGACGTCGATGAAGTTATGAGAGCAATGGAATCCTATAAGAGCAATAAAGCTGACTGGAGGCATTTTGCAGTGTTTGACGAGCATAAGTAAGTTCTCTATATTTATAGGTATATTTTCCAAAATTTTAAGTAATTTTCCCATTTAGGTATACCAGAAATCTCGTGGATGTCGGTAACGGCAAGTACAATCTTATGATCTTGTGCTGGGGACCCGGTATGGGGAGTAGGTAATGCATTACCGTAATCTATTCCTTTGTATAAATACCTAATGTACAAATTAATGTTCAGTATCCATGATCACACGGATTCGCATTGTTTTGTCAAAATTCTGGATGGAACGCTTTTGGAGACAAGGTATGATTGGCCCGAAGTGAATGACAACGAAGCTCCTATGAGGAAAAGTGGTGTGAACCGATACGAGGAGAATGGAGTCTCCTACATGAGCGGTAGGTTAATCTATGCCTTTCAATCTTTTTATACACTTACATCTCTCGTATGATGAATCTGAGTTGAGCCCTAACATACTTACCGATTACGTTTTTCCCTAATTGAAATCGTTATCTGTTAGTAAAAACAAGGGGAAAAAAATGTGATAGGCAATTTTTCCATTTTCTTTCACTTCTATCATTTTCTTTGTGGTATGTATTCATTTGCATGGGGAAACCTTCGATATCACAAGGATTTTATAACTGCTTAAGAAGCAGATCCTTCTGTATAAATTTTCGAACTCTAGCTATTTGTAATCGTTGTTGTGTGCAACTCTCGTTGTTTCCATCCAAGTATGATCGTTATGATCGCAGTACTGCATTACCAGAACTGCTTTTCAACGAAATCACTAGATGATCATTGAGCCGTTCGTCGTTCAGAGAAAAAACGTCGTTTGAACGCATATTTATATCTTATCTACGTGAATGAGTGGTTGTGGTTAACGTTCATTGATCAGCAAAACACATAGCAGAAACAGACACGTGGTATTAATACAAAAATGGAACTTTCAGATAAATTGGGCCTTCATCGAATGGAAAATCCTAGCCATTCTGATAGTGCTGTTTCCTTACACCTCTACATTCCAGCTTATGAAACCTGCAATGCTTTCGATGAGGTAACGCGAAGAATAAAAACTATAATGTTTCAATGTCACTCATACTTCGAATTTCAGAGAACTGGTAAAAAGACAAAATGCCAAGTGACCTTCTTTACGAAATACGGCTGTAAGGTTGATTATCGAAAAAACAAGAACGGAAA